CTGGTTTCAGAGAGGGGAACAACCTCTGGATATGAGTTATGGACCTTAATGCGGCAAATAGATAGTTACAGACAGACAGAGAGAACACACACTGAGTTGCAGATCGATAAACCTGACATTCTAAAAGTGTCAAGCCCAATAAAAAAGTTCATGTCGAGGAGAAAGCGATCCGCCGTTTTGAGGAATAAGGCCAGCCGATGTCATCGCTATCTTGCGATTGAACATCTGTTCTTCAAAGGCTATGAGAGACAACTTCGACAAAAGTCAAAAGACATTGGAAGATGTATCTGCACAAAGTTCTACAGACCATCGTCAGCCCAGCCAGGGTGTAATAAAAATTAATGCACTATGACAACATGAATAGATGGGCCTTAATACCATGCCCGTCTCTCATCCTGTCTCACGGCGGAAGTTGAGGGAAGCAAGTGAGGAGTGGCTGCAAATAATGCATTACGAAAAGCCGTGAACTGGTAAACGGACCAGGACTTTTCAGGCCGTTTGCATCTACAATGTATAACACTGTCAGAGGAAGAAACATTAAACCAACTGATGGAGGAATGGTAAGGGTGGTCTACAAACTTTTTGGCCTCTGCGAGACAGAGAGCGGAAGGCGATGAACGGCGTTTGGAAAGACGATAGTTGAATTTGGCCAGGAAGAGGAGAGAGTTCGAATTATATAAGAGGACACGGGTATGCAGTGAGCCATAACACCGTCTACTGCCTGCATCGAAGCTCCAACATCGTCTACTGCCTGCCAAGATCATGTCAAGAGCCGAAGAGGTCGCCTTGGAAGGAAATGGCTCGAAAGCGTTTCGACCAGCATGATTTGGCGGCCAGACCAAGTAAACGGCATGAAATATGCACTTAGGCTAGATACATTCCTCAACATCATTTATGACAACTTGCCATCCTCATCAGCCTCTTTCGATCTACTGCTTGATGAAGTTCTCTCCAGGATTCTGCCATCATCATTTGTTCTGGCCATTTCTATCGATGTTGATCGAGCAGACTTCTTCAGATCATCCTGCCATAGAACTGGAGGTTTTCCTGCGGACCCTTTATTTAGTTTAATGTCTTTCTGATGCAGCAATGGTCAGACATTCTTGTAACATCGATATTGAGTAAGAACAACGAGAAACCGGCACAAACGTTCAGGTTTTCAGCTATCCTACAAATTTTACTTCCTGTCCCCCTTAAAACGGTTACAAACTCATTGCGAAAATATATTATAGCATACTTTAAGCGCATCGACTTAGTTTAAAACGATTATAGTACTCCTTAAGCCGCAGGGTTTTGTCGAATGTAGGGACTCTGTAGATTTGCATGACAGACTTAGAGCGGTTTTAACGGCTGAGTACAGGAAATCTCGGTGAGGATTTTTGCACGCTTTGCTGAGGAAAACCAGTGAAATAGTATTCGAAAGCTTAAGCCTAGTTTTGCATAACTCTGCTGACTAAAACCCTTAGTATTCACGTCACGTCAAGTTTACTG